TTTTCTGCAATTACTGGGAGAGAGACGCAATGACGGGCTATCTAAGGTGGGTGTGGCCTCACCACGCCTTGTTGTCGTTCCACTTGAATGTTGATGCATATATCTACTAGAGAAAATGAAATATTTATGGTTGATGGTTTTCAGGTTTTGGCATTTTAGGTCACTGGAGATGGTTTAAAGTGGTTTTTGGACTTTTTTCAAGAATGGCATCTAAAAGTGAGGACCACTATTCCCTTCTCTTTGTATCACTTTCATTTTTTGGCCCGGTCTCTTACCGCTCACTTTGCTCCTCATGTATCCTGTCCTTACTGGTACCTCTTGTTCTCTATAGACTATCAACCAGTGAAGAGATGGGGACACTTCACAGTAAAGGTAGGAGACTACCTATATATGTGGGGTGGAAGCTTGTCTGGAGGCCTTGATAGTGATCTGGATAAATCAATGACATCATCAATGGACCTGTATCACTTACCAACTGGTTCATGGGAGGGTAGACCAACAAATGGCAACCCTCCACTACGTGCCAGTGGATATTCTTCTGTTGCTATTGAAAGCGGTATTTTCTTCTTTGGTGGTAGCAGGGGTGGTAGCTATCGAAATAGCTTACATTGTTTTAATGAGGATTCATTCAAGTGGAAGAAACTCTCTCCTTCTAGTTCTGATCGTTGTCCAATGATGAAAGGCTTCTGTGGAATAGTATCAGCTCATTTTGATGGTGAAAATTACCTTGTAATAATTGGAGGAAGTGGATCACCTTCTATTGATACTCCAAAGCAACCTGATGCTCAGTATTCAGCTGGTGGTAGATGTAATGAGATACATTATTACAGGATTTCATCAGGTCAGTAATTCTCATCATTGATACACAATAGTTAATCAGTATTTCAAAGTGAATAATGTACATAAAACAGATTGTTAATAATTAAGTGCATGTGTTTGTTCGTGTATCTTTGTGCTTTTGCCATGTGTTTGTGTATGATGGTACTTATGACGTGTGTGTACTAATACATTTTGTACATACATAATGATAAATAATATTTTATGTCTGTGTAAGATAATACAGTATTATTAGATCAATGGATATCTCCTGTTGTTACTGGAGACAGACCACCTCCTATTAGTCACTTCACTCTTACACCAGTTACTAATAACACTGCGGTAATGTTCGGAGGCTCTACTGATAATGGAGTCAGTAATAAACTGTATATGATAAGTTTTACTAAGACATCAGTGGTGAGTTAATACTGTAGGATGGGTTTTGATTGTAAGATTTGTTTAATTGTAAATTAGAGGTTTCAATTTAAATTGTAA